AATTGCCAAGACATCCTCCAAAGCCAATGAAAGTCTATAGAGAGAATTCCTTTGCAGTCCAGTGGTTAGGACTCTGCCCTCTCACTGCTGAGGACCCAGGGTTCAGTCCCTGGTGGGAAACTAAAATTCCACAAGCCATGCAGTGAGGCAAAAAAAAAAAAAGTCTACAGAAGGGTAACTGGAGAGTTTTTCAAGAATATTTGAATTCTAAATTCGGTGAGTGGGTGTAACCATAAGAAGGTGGGAAAGGAATGTGAATGTCATTAAGACAAGATAGAATCTGACCAATTGTATTTTGAATCAATTCTCATAATCAGTTCTTGTCTTCTGTGTGGACTGAAGACAAATACTCAGTGTGCAAATCAGGAAAAAGAAAAAAAGGCCAGAAAGAGTGTCTAATAATTTTCAGGGGAGTTTCAATCCAGGATTATCACTATTCCAGGATTCTTTCTGAAGGTGAGATAGGTAGGCCTCTTTTACACTGAAGACAAAAGCACTATGGTCTTAGAGCTGTCATGAAGTAAGTGCAGTTAATTCCTTTACTTTGATTTCAAGGTTCCTTGACTAGGTTTTTCTTTCCACTTATATTTTCTTATAGAGAGGATGAACAGATGGATCAGCCAACACAGATGTTCTGTTGTCCTTGACCAATTCAATTCATTTATAAAGAAGTTGATATGCCATTTCTTTGTCAGTTTTTTGTGAGTCCACTTGGTTTCAGTCAGGTGTACCTTTACTCAACATTAAATTTACAGTGTACCAAATATTTTCCAGGCACAGTTCTAGGAGTTGGGGGCACAATGGTAAACAAAATCAGTCAAATTCCTGTCCTTATATATGTTATATTCTAATGGAGAAGACCAGACATTAATAAAGTAATCAAACAAATAAATGGATTTGTGGTAACCAACAATCTGTGGTAAATGATATAATGTTTGCTATGAGAACATATAACACAGGAAGTTGGCTTAGTCTGGTAGGTCAGGAAAGTACTCCCTAAAGAAGTGACTTGATTGGCAAAATAAAATGTTGGAGCTTACAAAGCAGAGGACTGTACCCTGGGCTGTGGAAATTCCATAGATGCAATGCCAGCGTGGTCTCCCAGATACTTATTGTCTTATCACTCTACAACACTGAAATATTTTGCCCTTCCCTTTCTCTGAGTGTGTATGTCTTAGCCTTCTGTCAAAATTATTTGTGTCCCTTCTTTTTTGAATGGGAATTGTTGGGAGCTGTCATCACTCAGCCCCTTTTAAAATCATGGAGCTTGTGACTTAGGTCACCTAGGACTCTTCACCAATGTCTCAGAGAAGTGAACCAATTAAGAAGAAAGATGACATTGCATTTTTTTTTTTTTTGGCCACCCTGGGCAGGTTGTGGGAATCTTAGTTTCCTGACCAGGGATCAAACCTGAATAGCCAGGGAATTCCCAACTATACATTTTTATTTTTTAAAAATAACTTTGTGTATTTATTTAAAGTATTTATTTTTGGTGGTGTTGGGTCTTCGTTGCTCCTTGGGCTTTCTCTAGTTGCAGTGAGAGGGGACTATTTTTCGCTGTGGTGTGTGGGCTTATTGCAGTGTCTTCCCTTATGGTTGAGCACAGGCTCTAGAGTTGGAGGCTTCAGCAGTTGCAGCACACTGGCTCAGTACTTGTGGTGCCTGGCTTAGTTGCCCCACAGCATGTGAGATCTTCCTGGACCAGGGATCAAACTCGTGTTTCCTATATTGGCAAGAGGATTCTTTACCACTGAGCCACCAGGGAAGCCCCCGAACAATACATTTTTTTAATACATTTTTAAAGTAACAACTTTATCAAGATGTAATTCACATATGAAACAATTTAATTATTTAAAGTGTACAATTCAATTTTTTTCAATATCTGAAGAGAGCAAGCACCACTCCAATTTTAGAATGTTTTCATCACACCAAAAGACACCCTCTGCTCCTTTCCTTATAGTCATTAGTAATCTCTCTCCATGTCTTCATATCTCCCTAGGCACCAGGCAACCACAATCTATCAAATTTTGTCTCTATGGATTTGCCTATTCTGGACATTTCATGTAAACGGAATAATACATTACTGTATGTGATCTTTTGTGACTTTTATTTAGCATACGTTTCATAGTTATGCCATGTTGTAGAGTGTACCCAGTACATCATTCCTTTTTTTTCCTCTTTTTTTAAAAAAATTATTTTATTTTTTATTACTCTGGGTCTTTGTTGTTGTACACAGGCTTTCTCTAGTTGTGGTGAGCAGGGGCTACTCTTCATTGCGGCCTGTGAGCTTCTCTTTGCAGTGGCTTCTTCTTGTGGAGCACAGGCTCTAGGTACGTGGGCTTCAGTAGTTGCAGCAGGCACGCTCAGTAGTTGAGGTTCAGTTCAGCTGCTCAATCGTGTCCAACTCTTTGCGACCCCATGAACCACAGCACAGCAGGTCTCCCTGTCCATCACCAACTCCGGGAGTTCACTCAAACCCATGTCCATCGAGTCAGTGATGCCATCCAACCATCTCATCCTCTGTCATCCCCTTCTCCTCCTGCCCTCAATCTTTCCCAGCATCAGGGTCTTTTCAAATGAGTCAGCTCTTCACATCAGGTGGCCACAGTATTGGAATTTCAGCTTCAACATCAGTCCTTCCAATGAACACCCAGGACTGATCTCCTTTAGGATGGACTGGTTGGATCTCCTTGCAATCCAAGGGACTCTCAAGCGTCTTCTCCAACACCACAGTTCAAAAGCATCAATTCTTCGGCACTCAGCTTTCTTTATAGTCCTACTCTCATATCCATACACGACCACTGGAAAAACCATAGCCTTGACTAGATGGACCTTTGTTGGCAAAGTAATGTCTCTGCTTTTTAATATGCTGTCTAGGTTGGTCATAACTTTCTTTCCAAGGAGTAAGCGTCTTTTAATTTCATGGCTGCAATCACCATCTGCAGTGATTTTGGAGCCCCGAAAAATAAAGTCAGCCACTGTTTCCCCATCTATTTGCCATGAAGTGATGGGACCGGATGCCATGATATTAGTTTTCTGAATGTTGAGCTTTAAGCCAACTTTTTCACTCTCCTATTTCATCTTTATCAAGAGGCTCTTTCATTCTTCACTTTCTGCCATAAGGGTGGTGTCATCTGCATATCTGGGGTTATTGATATTTCTCCCAGCAATCTCAGGCTTTATTTGCTCCTCAGTATGTGAAATCTTCCTGGACCGGGAACAAACCTGTGTACCATGCATTCGCAGGTGGATTCTTATCCATTGTATCACCATAGAAATCCTTCATTCTTTTTTATTTTTGAATAATATTTCATTTTATGAATATACCATATTTTATTTATTCCTTCATCAGTTGATGAAGTTTGAGTAGTTTCTACTTTTTGGCTATTATGAACATCTGTGTACAAGAGTTTTAAAACTGAGGTGAATTCACATTTTAAAATAAACAGCTCAGTGGTGTTCACTGCATTCAACTTCACAGGTTGTACAACCACCACCTCTATCTAATTCCAAAGCACTTCATCATTCTAAAACCCCATGACCATTAAGCAGTTACTGACCATCAGTCTGCTTTTTGTTTCTTTGAATTTACCTATTCTGTATATCTCACATCAGTGGAAACATATGTGACCCTTTTGTTTGGCTTCTCTTACTTGTAACATCTTCAAAGTTCATCTGGTTATAGCATGCATTTATACTTCATTCTTTTGTGTGATTAATATTCTATTACATGTATACACCACAGTTTGTTTATTCATTCATCTGTTGATGGATATTTGCCTTGTTTCCACCCTTTTACTACTACTGAATAGCGCTAAGTACTTTCCTACAATGATTTGAGTACCTGTTCTTAATTTGGGGGTAATATAGCTAGGAGTGGAATTCTTGGGTCATAAGGACATCTTTGAGAAGAGCAGGAATTGGACTTTTAAACAATGCACCCAGGAAATTTTTTTCCCAAAGGAAATGGCAGAAATTTCAGAAAATTGAGTGGGAGAATTTGGGGGTGATAGTACAATGTGCTACGTAAATGTATTAATTCAAGCTAGTGTTCGTAGTGCATATCTACCGTGTCACCTCTTAGACAAGAACCAGATTCAGGATTTTGGATTCCAAGCCCAGCTATTCAGTTGCTTGTCTTGCTCCACAATATTGTCCACCAGTCTACGGAAACAAACAAGGTAGCCACGAATGTAGTGCTGAAAACCTAGAAACTAGAGTTAGACGACTACAAACTTTCAGGAAAAGCAGCAGCTTTCTTCCCTAGAACGAGGGCCAGGGAAATTCATTGCGAGTTTCTGGTTTCATGGTCACCTCTTATGAAAGGGAACATCAATGGAATTCGATATACCACACTTCATAGAGAATTATTTTCTAAGAGGGTGTGTGTGTGTGCGTGTTTGAGAGTCGCCCAGTCCTGTCCGATTCTTTGCGACCCCATGGACTATATAGCCTGCCAGGTTCCTCTGTCCATGGAATTCTCCAGGCAACAATAGCGGAGAGGGTTACCATTTCCTTCTCCGTTTTCTCAGGGTGCTCGTAGACAATTGTTTGGAGACCACAGAGGACAGCTAAGGGAAAAGAGAAATGCCATGTAAATCTTACTCCAGGATTCAGCAGAACTGCTTCTATGGAAGCCATAGGGACCGATACGGACTAAGAGTTTGAACAAGATGGTGGCTGGGACGGGACCGCTCTATCTTTCCGGGTGAAACTCTATGGCAGAGTAGAGGCGCACAGTTTTAGAGAAGTGAAGCTGAGATGAGTGGTAACTCGACCACACTAGCGCGCGGGGAAGACTGAAGCGGAAAGAGCTCTCTCGCGCATGTCTGGAACGGGGGAGCAGGGGGAGAGGGATGGGTTTTGCGACAAGGGGCCCACCCCACAGTACAAGTTTTCTGAAACGTGTGAGTCTTCCAAGTCCAGCTAAAGTCGAGGTGGGGCGTTTCCTAAGACGCATGCGTTCTAGACAAGATCAGCAATACAGTGGCGTGGTCTTTTCAACGCTTGGCGTACAGACGACGTCTGAGGTGGAAGGGGCGTTCAGTATTCCCAACACGCATGCGCCTTGAGGCCGAGGCGTTTCCTTCAGAGGGTGTGGAGTGTAGGACTCTTTATTGCGCAGGCGCAAGGATTGTCCGGTAGGGCTGGTGGTCTAACACGGGGAGGGCAGAGGAGGTTGAAGGGATTAAAAAACCGGATGCGCCTGCGCGTTGCCTACTGGTGGGATGAACTTAGGATTTGTGAGGGGCGGGGTCACGTATGCGCGTCATTGGATGAGTAGGTGGGAGGGAGGGTGGAGAGCAAGGGAGTATCTGTGCGCTTGCGCAGTGCGGGGGTGGAGGGCGGAGGAGATAGATAGCACGCTTGCGCGGCTGTCACAGGGCTGCTTGGTTGGTCAGTGGGGAGTCGGCGCCTGCGTACTAAGACCCGTGTGCAGCAGCGGCGGCGGCGGTAGAGGCGGCGGCGGCGGCGGCGGCGGCAGTGGGCTCGGAGGCAGCGGTTGGGCTCGCGGCGAGCGGACGGGGTTGAGTCAGTGCGTTCGCGCGAGGTGAGAGCGGGCAGGGCGCGCGTGCGCGGAACCTTGACTTGGGCCTGGGAGTAGAGATGGAACTGCGCGAGGGTCGGGGAGGGGGCAGAGGGGAGCGGCGGCCGCCGCAGCACGGGGTTCCGTCTGCGAGCCGCGCGAGGTACGGAGAGACTTGGGCGCGCAACCCGGTTGGCGCGCGAGGTGACGGTTGGGGCTGGTCGGGTGACGTTGGAGCGACGCAGGGCGGGGGACGGCGAGCCGCGAGGCCGCCACGCGGGAGAGGCCGCCGAGCGGCCACGCCGGGGCGAGAGCCGGGGGCCAGATCGGCCCGCCGGGTACCTGCGCCGTTGTGAACCGGGAGCCGCGAGGCCACGTGAGGTGGGGGAGGGGGCTGTTCGGTGAGAGGGCATGGGGGGGGTTGGCGGCTGGCGGGGGGGGGGGGGAGGGGAGGCGGCGTGGCTCCGGCCTGGCGCGGCCTTTGAGGAGAGGGCAGGCTGCAGTACCGGAAGTGCCCCCCACGGGAGGCTGCCCTCGGGGGCGGAGGCCGCATGGCCGAACGTGGACGGGGGCCGCATGGCAGCGCGGGGACCCCTCCCCCCAGGTCCCGGCCACCGGAAGCCCCGGGCGGCCACATGGTGGGCGGGAGCCGGCAACCCCCAGCGCGGAGAGAGCTGGTCTTCGCGGGCGCCTGGGGGAGCTTGGAATTTTGAGGAGTGGGAGAGGCCGAAGGCCCGGACCCGGATCACCTCGGAGAGCCCGCTGTGGGCATATGTTACGGCTCCCCCTACCTCATGGACCTTTGCAGCGTTCCCCCCAGCCCTCCTGTGAAGTGAGGCGGCCAGCCAGGTGTAAGTGGGGCTCGTCCGTGCTGGGAGGCCAGAGAAATGGGGAAACCGAGGGCGATTGGACGGGAGCCCAACTCTTCTCGTACGTGCCGACGGCGCCTTAAAGTCCCGGGCAGATGAGTTACTCGCTATGATAGGTGCTCTTCACCTTGTCACTGTCTTTGTCTTGGTGTCTGACCTGAGAGTGCCTGGTTTTAGGGTCCTTAACTCTGCTAGCCTAGTATAACTTATACTACTCACTACTACCAGCATTTTGCTTTCATTTTATTGTCATTCACCACTCCCCACTCCCCCACTTTCTACTGACTGTACAGGCCGGGCCTGAAAAGCCGACAGGACTGATGCATCCTGGGAAAAGTGGGAGGGCCCTTGAGGAGAGGCTGGGTTCCTGGGTTCCCTTTGGGAAACCAGAGGTGTTTGGCAGGGAGATCAGTTAGAAAACAACTTTGCTTTCTCCCTCTCGGCTGCATCTGCAAATGCATGTTGGAGAGGCGGGAATCCCCCAAAGCGGCCTTGTGGTTTCCTGTACCAATGACGGGTTCGTGTGTGGATAGAGTGGGGGGGGTGTAACAGACGGGTGGGGCTCCCAGTCCTCCGGTCTCCACCCCCCTTCCCCCCCACACATTAGCCCCGCCCTTTTGCTGGCTCATAACTGCTCACCTAATTATAGCCCTGGTTATGTGTGGGGAGCAGGGGTGGTTGATTTCAGTGGCAAGTAACACCTGAGTCCTCCCTCGACCAAGAATTAGGCCTTTGCCCATATCAGAGATTTGGGATCCTAAATTTCTGGGGCTTTTTGTACTTCAAGCCACCCTTTTAGCTTTCATTTGGGGTGGGGATCCAGTTTATCTCCACTGCCACATACACCAGTTTTTCGGTATTTTTGATCTAATCAGCATTTAGTCTAGAAGCTATTTTACGTGTGTAAAGGGATAAAGTGCTGCGGGGGGGAAAAATGAAGCAATGTTTCTAGAGTGGAGTGGGATGGATTGGAGACCCTGTTAATTCTTTCCTTACTGACCCTAGTTCTCTTCTTGACTCTAGTTGGAATCGTAGCCTCTTAAAATGGCAGATGATTTGGACTTCGAGACAGGAGATGCAGGGGCCTCAGCCACCTTCCCGATGCAGTGCTCAGCATTACGTAAGAATGGCTTCGTGGTGCTCAAAGGCCGGCCATGTAAGATTGTGGAGATGTCAACTTCCAAGACTGGCAAGCACGGCCATGCCAAGGTTAGAATTTCATTTCTATAGCTTGTCTTCTCCACCTGCTGTCATCAGTGCTAACCCCCTATCTTACTTAGCTCTTGTATTATTACCATCTGGCTCCTGGTGGTCAGTACTCAGCTCTGGACACCTTTTCCAACTATTGCACCAGCCTTCAGCTTCCTCCTCGGTTCCCTCCTGTGCCCCAGCATCCTTGGAATCCCTTCCTTTCTCCATCTTTGTGTGTCTCCAATTCTTCTTCGTGGTCCTCTATGCTCTAGCTGTTCAGTTACTCTTCTTCCTGGCCTTTGCTTTTTGTATTTGTCTCTGTTTGAGTCTTCGTAGGTGCTCTGTTTCCATTGCTTTGCCCATGTTTTCACCAACCCTAACATAAAACGCACCCCTCCCCTGGCAGGGCACCAGTGCACATCTCTGCACCTCTGTACGTCACTGCTCCACTCTCCAGTTCCAGCTTTCCCATCAGATTTCTGATGCAAGGTCAGAGTGCCTCTACCTGCCCCCTCTTGGAGCCTGCTTGCTTACTTGGTCAACATTTTTCCTTACAGCTTTCCTTGTAACTTCAGACTCCCCACCTCCCCCGCCCCCCAAAACTTGAACCTGATTCATCTTTGAATTTCCTCTGCTTTTGTTCCTTAATCACTTTTTCTGTCTTCTGTTGACTTGGCATTCATCATGGGTTACCCCCAAATGTCTAGATCATTCTCTGTTCTTTCCGGTTTCCTTATTTCCTATATGTGTAGTTCTGCTCTCTCCCAACTCCTTCAGCTCTTATTCCTTCCTGTTTTCTGAACTCTTTATTTCCTACCTTTCAAGTTCTTGGCCTTTTATATTGATGTCAATAAAACTTCTTGTAAACTTTTACCTAGGTTCCTCCTACTCCCCTAGAATCTTGGTCACTTGTTAATGTTTTGATAGTTTGAAGTAACTGCTTCAAGGCTGCCCTGCAATCTTACTTGTGTGGTTAGCTGCAATTTCAGTGGCAGTCTTTTGACTTCAGGCTCTTTTTAGAGCCCTTTAGTAGTGAGCCTTTTAGTGTTTTCCTTTTTGAGTTGATTGGTTCAATTCCAACTCTTATTTGTCCTGACAACCTAGTGTGACTTCCCCCCACCAGCCAAGGATCTCCTCCATCCTAGAGTATAAATGGATTTCTCTTTGATGTGATGTATACATACAGGTCCATCTGGTTGGTATTGACATCTTCACTGGGAAGAAATACGAAGATATCTGCCCGTCAACTCATAATATGGATGTCCCCAACATCAAAAGGAATGATTTTCAGGTATGTAGGTGATGTGATTGTAGATGGTTTAGTAGCCTGGGGGGAGTAGAAGTTGAGACTGACCAAAGACCTTGTGCTGAGAGAAGGGAGATGGGCGAGAGAGAGTATTTGGTGTTAGCTGTTTGTCGCCCTAGTTTGCCCATCACACCCTTCATCCTCAGGCTACTTGGGCCCATCTTCAGCTTTCTTCTCTGTCTTCCCCTAGCTGATTGGCATCCAGGATGGGTACCTATCACTGCTCCAAGACAGCGGGGAGGTGCGAGAGGACCTCCGTCTGCCTGAGGGAGACCTTGGCAAGGAGATTGAGCAGAAATACGACTGTGGAGAAGAGATCCTGGTATGGTGCCCCCAACTTTGTACCCAGCTTTGTTCTTTGTGCTTCTTCCCCTGCTTTGCACTCAGACATGACTCCCCTTCTCCGTGCTCTCCCAGATCACGGTGCTGTCCGCTATGACAGAGGAGGCGGCTGTTGCAATCAAGGCCATGGCAAAATAACTGGCTCCCAGGTAAGTGTGACTCCCCCCTTTCATACACTTTATCTCCATTAAAGAGCTAGATTAGTCTTAATGGCTTATTTTTTGCCCCCTAGCATGGTTCTGCCCCCTCACCCTTTTTCCCTGTGAAGGTTTACCCTGTCTTACCTGGTTTCTCTCTCCTACCCAGGGTGGCTGTGGTGGCAGCAGTGATCCTCCAGCCTGCAGAGGCCCCCTCCCCCAGCGTGGCCCAGCTCTGGCCTGGCTCTTGGCTGGACTCCTCCTATACGATTTATTTGACGTTTTATTTTGGTTTCCCCTACCCCTTCAATCTGTCGGGGAGCCCCTGCCCTTCACCCTGCTCCCTTGGCCAGGAGTGAGTGCACCATGGCCTTGGTGAAGCTGCCCTCCTCTTCTCCCCTCGCACTACAACCCTGGTGGGGGAGACGGGGTGGGTGCTGCTTGTGGTTTAGTGTTTTTTTTTTTTTTTTTTTTTTAATTCAATCTGGAATCAGAAAGCTGTGGATTCTGGCAAATGGTCCTTATGCCCTTCCCCAACTCTTACCTGATCTGACCCCTTATTTCCTCCATAGCCCTCTATCCCAAGCACCACCCCCACAGACTGGGGACCAGCCCCCTCCCCTGCCTGTATCTCTCCCCAGATCCCTTTAGATGGGGAGGGAAGAGGAGGAGAGTGGAGGGGACCTGCCCCCTCCTCAGGCATCTGGGAGGGCCCTGCTCCCATGGGCTTCATCCTTTCCTGCGGGCTCTCTCCCCGACACATTTGTTAAAATCGAACCTGAATAAAACTACAAGTTTAATATGAAGTCCCCAACTCAGCTGCTTTTTCAAATTAAATGGGTATTTATTTGGAAATCTGAAGAGTATAGGTTGAATGAACTCCGCTGCTCAGTTCATTACAACCAACCCTGCTGTCACCTTGTGATTCCTGCCAGCCACTGCCCACCCTCCAAGCAGTCCAGTGGGAGGCAACACAAACAGCAGCCGGGGGCAGTGGCAGGTAGATTTTATTGGCCTGGTACTGGGACACCAGGGATCCTCCCCAGGGGCAGGGGTTGGGGCCGAGGCTGAAGATAAATGTGATGGTCACTTGTGGTAGAACCTTGGATTCTGGCTGTGCTGGATGAAGGGGAGCCGAGGGCCAGGCTGGCTGGTGGTTGCAAAGCCCGACTGGCAGCGGTGATGAAAGGAGGGCTTTGTCAGTGTGCATGCCCTCCTCTCTACTCCACACCAGAGAGCCACCCCAGGGAGGGGAAGGGAAAACGGGATGGGGGCCACCTACCCTACCCAATACTGTTTCCCTGCAATGCAGGGATTCTGAGGGACTTGATTACCAACCTTACCTTTCCTGCTGGTTGCATCTGCACAGGGAGCTGGGGTGAGGCCAGGAGTCCAGGGGCGGGATGCAGAGCTTGGGGATGCATGGGACGCAGGGAGGACTGCAGAGAACAGTGTCAGCAACTGAGGCAGCCTGAGGCTCCCCTTAGCATAGGCAGCCCTTGACTTTGCAAGGCTCTACTCACTGAGTCAGAGAAGCCAGTCTGCTGGTTAGCATGTTCCATCTGCTTTTGTAAGGACAGGGCACCACCAGGCTGGAGAAACCCTAGGTGGGGAAGGAAGAGTGTGAAGTGAGTAGAGAATGGGGAAAGGAGGAAGGTAGGACTCGTGGAACTGGACCCCAGCATGGCGTGTTCCCATCACCTGTCTGGGTGGGTTGAAAGTGGCTGTGCACGGCATAGGGCTGTGGCTGTGGCTGAGACAGGTACTGCACTGCAGGAAACGCGGAAGGTGCTGAGGAAGGCAGGAGACCATTAGAACCTCCTTGTAGCCTGTTCAACACTCCTCCCTTTGGGTCTTGAGGAAAATTCCTCTTCCCACCTCACCTCTGAGCTGCTGACTAGGACTGTAGGCAGGCTGCGTGGGTCCATAGTGAGGTGGGGGTTGAGCAGTCCCATAGGCGCCACCCGGGCTACCTTGGAATTGTCCATGCTCTGGGGTCCCTGCGAAAGCAGCTGCTGAGCCCACGTAGTGCCGGGTCTAAGAAGGAAAGATGAGAACTCACTGCCTGTAAACTCCATGAAGCAGAAATTCAAGTGACTGCACCCCCATTTCCCCTATTCAGGATGTAGACACACTCGAGACTTGAGTGCTGGCTAGTGAAGATGCTAGGGTCTGGGTGGAAGTAGGAAAAAAATTCAGCCTAGACACCCAGTCCTCTTACCGTAAGCACTTGGGGTCCAAACATCTGTTTGGCTCTGTCAGCTGCCATGAGGGTGCCTGGGCGATTGTGTCCTCCAGGGCTCCCTAGAGAGGGAGAGGGGTGCTTCATGATGTTGCAACCCCCAGGAGGGCCCATTCTGACCAGTAGTTTCTTAACCCTCACCCTGCATGCTGAGGAGGTGAGTTCCGGTGTGAACGGTCAGGCCTTGCTGGTATGCTGCTGATGTCAGAGTGGTCAGGTCACTGGAGCAAAAGGAAAGCGGGTAAAAGACAAGTCTGTCGTGTCCCCAACCCCACACACTCCCCTTCCCATTTGCCATTAAACACTGATCTTTTGTTACCTGATCCCTGTTACACTTTAGCCTCGATTTTATTTTTAGCTCTTTAATCTCACCTCTGCTCTTTTCGCCTCCGTTTTTCTTCCTCATGTAGAACTTTCTTGAGCTGCAGGAAAAGCTGATGCTTCTCTTCCTGTAGAGCTAAAAGCTTCTCCTGCAACTTCAGGATCTGGGGAGGGGAGAGAAGATGAAAGCAGGAGAGCCAAGAGAAGAAAGAACTGGGAGAGATGGAGGGACTGCTTACTTGTTCCTTGGTCTCCTCTAGTGACATTCTTTCTTCCATCTCCTTTTTCTTCCTTCTCTCCTGCTCTTCCTTCATCTTCTGTTCCATCATCTTGTCCACTTCTTCCTCCTCTGGAATAAGAGGCAGAATGGACAAGCGGCAGGGTGTTAAAATATCAGAACATTAATAACTGAAGACCAGCAAGAACTGGTTATCCCAGTGCTCTGGAACAGGCTTCATCACTGAGAGGGCTGGAACGGGAAGGTTTATTAGGTGCTCTCCAAGGTCCTTCCCAGCTCCAGACGTGGCCTTTTAACTCCCACCACCACCACCACGGGGCTGGCTGTCCCTCTGGCTTCGGCCGCCGTTCACTGGTCTGCCCGTGGGTGGGGGTCACCGTGGAGCGCGGAACGCCCCGAACCGTGCGTCCTCCCGCTTTGGGCCCGGCTCACCCTGCCGCTTGCGCTCCCGCTCCATCATGATGTGTCGGTGCAACGCCCTGGCCATGGCGTTGGACAGCTTCGGACGCTCCAGAAGCGCAGGCATGGTGCTGCTGGGGACGGTCGGGCCTTGGGCGCCCGGCTCTGTCGCTGGCTGCCAGACCTCTGGCCGGGCCTGCGGGGAGGCGGCAGCTCAGTGGGAGCGCGCCGGGTTCAGGCGGAAGCTACCGTCCGCCGCCCCGGTCACGTGCCCGCCGCCCGGCCGGGCTCGCCGCGCGGCTCTTCCGCGTGCGCGAGCCTGGGTCTTGGCCTCCGCGCTCCCGCCTCTGCCAGCCACCCGGGCGCCCGCCCCACCCTACCCGCCTTCTCGTCGCTTTCTCCGCGGCCTCTGGAGCTGCAGGACCGCGGCGTCACATCCGGCCGCTGGGCCGAATCCTTCCGGAGTCGGGCCGCCGTGGGCTCGCTGGTTGGGCGGAGCGGCGCAGACGGAAGTGCGGCCGACGGGTGCCCATGGCGTCCAAACCCCTCCTCTGTGCCCCGCGGGACTCCCCGACCCGGCGTGCCCAGCGGGCGGAGCCCCCAAAGTTGGCGGGGCCGGAGCGCCTCCCGTGGGCGAGAGGCACGCGAAAAGAGGGGCCGAGGCGAGTGCTCTTAGACTGCGTTTATTGGCTCCTTAGAAATCAGAGTCAGTAACAACTGTACAGAGGCCCGAGCCCCGGCCCCCGCCTTCCCTACTCGCGCCCGGGCCGGAAAAGCAGCTTCACTGGGGCACGGGGAGACGCCTCTGGGATTCACAGTAACCAGGGAACAGAAACGGAAATAAATTAAGTTTATGGGGGAGGAGTCGCGGGGAGTCAGGCTCCCCAGATCAGTGCATGGACAGGGTTTCCCGGGGTCTGCGGCCGGTCTTCCCGCTGCACCCCCACCTCGGAGGGAGGGACGTCCCCTTCCGCTGGGGCACGGAAACAAGCTCCGCTTCCCAGCTAGTCTGAGAGCCTGCCCACACGCTTCTGTGCATCTGCCAGGCTGAGCACCGTGCATGTCGCGGGGCGCTGGAATGACCTGGAGGCAGTCATCATTCCGAGTCCACGGGCCCTGGCCCAACTGTGCTTGTAGTGGTGCGGCCTCGCCCCTCACTCCACCCGTACCAGCAGGGCATAGAGAAGCGTGGCCCCCTTCTCCTTGGTCACCCACTCAAGTTCGGCTGGACTGAAGTGAGGGTCGGGAGGCTCTCTGAGGGCCGCGGAAGGGGGTCCCGGGGTGTAAGAGCCAGGGCGCACACACACTTGGAACGCCACCTGGGCCTGGTGCGTCCGCTGGGATTTGGGGTCCCGGAATCTGTCAGGTAACAAGCAGAAATAGGGCAGTGAAGCCTCTGGCCCCCAGTACCTCTGCCCCTTGGCAACTGCAACCACCTCAATTAGCAACAGGCCCTCCTGTATGCTATTCCTTAGTCATTCCTTCCTTATAGGGGCTTGGCTGCAGCCTTGTCTCTACCTGAAATGGTCTTCCTCCCAATGCCTGCTCGACTGACTCCGTCCTGCCCGTGTCTTTGCTCAGATTCACCTTCTTAGTGATACCTACTTGTATGCTCCAACCACACTCTTGATCCACTTCACTCTGCTCTACTTTTCACTTCCATAGTACTTGTCACCTTTAAAAATACTAAATAACTGGGTTCCCTTCTTTGTTCTTTGTGATAGAACAAAATAAATGGTACTTGTACAAAGACTGTGAATGAAGGGCTGGCTGGAGACTGAGGAAACAGGAAGACAAGGTGGACATGAGGGAATCATGGAGACCCATGTGGCCCTGGGCCCCCTCCTGTGTACTCACTGCACTTTGGATGCCAGGGTCTCAGCCCCAGCATATTGGAGGGAGGGAGAAAGCAGCACTGGAGGGGGCTGCTCCTCCCGGGGGGGTGCGCAGTTCTCTCCAGGCTCCTCAAACCCTGTCCCAGGCTCTCCCTTCAAGGGCCGGCAGCTCAGGATGGAAGCAGTGCCTGCAAGGGAGGAGAGCTGGGTCAGGGTGGCCCTCCTACCACCCACAGGCCCACCTCCCCTGGTTCTGCTGGCACTGCGTACCTGCCCCTAGCTCCCCTCGGTCCAGCACCCTCCGGACAGCCGCTACATTGCTCCCATGGTAGGCCATGTGCCACTTCTTGGTTAGCGTCCCAGCCTCCAGGCGGGGGTTCACCCTAGCACGTAGACAGATAGGACAAGGTCATTGGCTCCCCAAGGTCATTCCCCAGACAGGAAGTTTTATCTTCTACACACCCTCTCAGGACCTTTTCTCAAGGTGGGCAAAGAATAGTGTGGGAGGCACACGATCCTTCCCCCTATGTACCTGAGGTTGAACCTGCACCAGCCAAAGGGCAGAGCGTATTCACGGGGGGGCTCCCCACGGCGCCTGTGGGCCTCGTCCCCTCGAAGTTTTCGGCAAGACTCACAGTAGCATAAGCTACGCTTTGGCGGAGGCATGAAATAGTCCTCTGTGGAGAGTAAGCAGCAGACTCTGTGGCATGGCCCCCACCCTGGGTCTCTTCCAGGGGCTCCGGCCATGGCCCTGGGCTGGGCTGGGAATAAGGCAGGTTCTGGGGGCCTGGGGACTCACCAGGAAGCAGCAGCAGTTCCTGGAAACGGGAGCAAAGGGCATGGTACTCGCAGCTTTTGAGGGGGCTAGTGGTGGGTGGTGGGCCCCAGCACACACTCTCCTTGATACCTGAGGGAGCAGAGTGGGCCCATGTCACAGGGGCTGGAGCCAGAAGTACAAAATCGGGGTGAGGTGGGATCCTGGCCCCTTGTGCTGGCTCACCATCCACCATGTCAGCTTTCTCCATGTCCCCTTGGGTTCCAGCACTTTTCCCACTGGCAGCCCCTGGTTCAGGGCTCACGATTGTCACCTGCAGAGGAGAGGGGTGGTCAGTCAGGGTGTGACCAGCCCCCAGGGCCTACTGATCCCTTCCATGAACTACAGGCTTCCTCTTTCCTAGGACCTCCCAGCCTCCAAGGTGCCACTCTTCCCACGGCCACTCACCTGCTCACACTGCCCATAGAGGTCCACAAGCGCGTGGCAGGGCTGGGGGACATCTGGCACAGCCACCCCCTGGTCCATTCCATTGATATGGAGGTGCAGCCCCCCAGAGCTGTCCAGCCGCAGTCCCAGGATGGTGCCTTCTGGACATGTGTCCAGATTTGGCCCAGATTTCTCACAGATCTAGGAGGAAAGACCTGTTGTCTTCAGGGAGATCAGACTCCCCACTGGCAGCAGCCACCGCCGCCCTTCACTAAGCTTCGCCAGCCAGTCCCTGGGTTTTGCCTCTACCCTTGCCCACTGCTTCAGTTATCTAAAGTCCACCTCCCCTTTCCCCCCTTGTGACATTCTCAATGGCAGGGATGTCGGAGGAGGCAGTGAGCCTGAGATTGTCCAGGTAATGGCACTCACACCTCTGCCCACCTGCTACAGGGCCGCTATACACCTGTGCTCCTACCTCCAGGGCTCGGGGACCCTCTTCTCCCTTGGCCAGCCACTCCCTCTCAGAGGCAGGGCCCTCCCCTGCTCCCCACCCACCTTGAGGCCATTGTGGAAGACCCCTCGGCCCCGCAGCAGCCAGGCTGCCCGTTTGAGGGCACAGGCGGAAGCAGGGAAGTTGAGCCTCTCCGGTGGGCAGGTGATGACTCCCAGGACAAGGGAAGATGTCCACTGCCGGTTCAGGAAGTCTATCCGCACCTGGGGAGAAGGCAACTGCTCCACAATCACAGCCTCCTGCGAAGAGGTCCCCCACCCAGCAGGACCGGGCTCCTCACCCCCGACCAGGGAGAGAAGACGGCACCCCAGAGTGCAGCCTGGGATGCAGCCTGTTCTGATACCTAGAGGGACCCGGAATGGCCAATTTGTTTGTGTCCTTCCCTCTTTAAGCCTTGGTCTTGCTGTTGCCTTTAAAAGGATTCTCGTCTCCAGGGGTTTCCTTCACCTGCTTAACTGACATTTTCACAGCATAACGCCCCCTCCCCTGGAAAGCATGCCCCGTTCCCACATACAGGATCAGGAGCCTTCCTGGCCTCCCCAAGCCCCTCTGCACTGCTTCCCTCATCACAGCCCTCAGGTGGGTACTTCCTGGAAACTGATCTACAACTCCCACCACAGGGTATGAGCAAACACCCAGAAAGCTAAGGGGCATGCATGCCTTCCACTTCATCCTCCACTTGGGAAAAAAAAGCCTTTCTGCAGGAGAGTTGGCCCTGGGTCACCTGGAGCAAGAGGAGCTGCAGATAAGGAGGTGTGGCCCACCTGGACCAGCAGCTGGGGCACCAGGGGCTGGTTGACGACGACGATGCCCTGGTTGTAGCTGGCCACTCGCGTAGCCGTACGGTTCCCATTGGACAAGAGAATATTCTTCCCATGGTTCTCCAGGAACTCGAGGGCTGTGGGCATAATGGCCACTTGGTTCTGGCCCTGGTAAGGAGAGACTGAGCTACTGGGGGTGCCGACTCAAAACCAACTCACCCCACCAGGATGGACATAGAGCCTGCCAATAAGCCTCTGCCCATCCAGGACTAGATCAGGGAATCCGAAAATGACCTGGTGGCTGATGGCCCACCAACAGTCCATCCCTGAGCCCAGTGGTTCCTGCTGCCACTTACTTCCAGGCCATGCTCCTCGCCTTCGTCATCCTCCTCGCCCTCGCTGCCGGTATCCGAGCTGGGGGAAGGAGGCTGAGTGCCTTCTGGCTCATCCAGACGGGTGGAGCTGACAATAGAGACACTCCGGACTGGCCCATATAGATCCAACACAGCCCACACACTCTGGGGGCACACAGACCGAGGTTAGGAATTAGCGGAGAACCTCGATCCTCCTCCAGACCCACGGAAGGTCTGGGGTCTACCTTGGCGATGCCAGTGGCTGCGGGACCCATGTCCTCTCCGTCTACCAGGATGTGCATTGTGTCGTCTGCCCCTCGGCGAATGCCCACACGGCTTCCCACCTAGGGCCAAGGCGTGGCAAGGACGAGGGCTCAGCCCACCTCTCCCCACTGCCCCCACTCCCGGGCCCACCCCCGGCCCCGGGGTCGGCTGCCTCACCCCCAGCCTCTCCAGGTTCCGGCCATAGTTCATCCTCTGGAGTTGCCCGTCCCGCCTCACTTCACAGCTGGACACCATCCAGGTGGTCTTCGTCCGGAGCTCTGGCAGGGAGGGAGGCAGTCCCGGGCCCCCGCCCGCACCGGGCCCCATGTCCCCAGGCGCTAGCGTGGTCAGCCCTAAGCGGAGGGAGCCGGCCCACTTCTCATCCAGCTCCTCCACCTTTACCTGGGAGGCAGAGGAGCCCTTAGCACACTGCAGGAGGATGGGAAGCAGGCTGGCCCTGCCATGGAGGCTTGGTGGCCCCCTGGGTCACATCGCCACAGCCCACCTCGAAGATCTCCTCAGTCCTGAGCTCCTTGGTGCTGAAGACCAGGCCATGGGCGTAGCCGGCTGCTCGCACCGCCCTCGTGCCGTCTTCTTCCAGAGCGATGTTCTTGCCGCAGGTGCTGTGGAATCGGTGGGCCACGCCAGCCACTATGGGAAGACAGCACCAGAGGAGGGGGAGGATTGGGGCAGCAAGCTTCAGAAAGGATAGGGTGAGGCTTTCAGATGCAGCAGGAAGTTGACATGATGGTCCCACCTCCAGTCTTCCCTCAAGACCTCTGATACCTCTTTCACCACAGCAGGACTCAGTCCCAAACCTGCCATGCCCAGCAATGGTGTCCCAACCCTTTGGTGGCAGGGAAGCATCCAGGCCCTGTGTCCAGGTGGAACTTCCTCCCCTCTTCTTGGCTGCTCCCCACCAGAGGCTGAGCCCTCCCCCTTCCCCTGGGTCTACCACTGCTGCAGCCAGCCTGTTTGAACAGCTTGCCTGACCTAGAGGCTGCACTCCGCAGGCCCACCGCAGGCAGGCAGAGCCCTTCCCCCCTCCCTCCCTGCCAGCTAAACCTGGGGAGTGCAGGGGGAAGGACTTCTCAGTGGCGGTGTTGCTGGTCGCCAGGCTGTTGTCCATGGGGCCGGTGGCATTGGTGATGGACACTTGGACGCACTGGCCGTACAGATCCACTACTGCATACACCTCTGGGTAAGAACGGAAGGTGTCAGGAGCCCAATAGCCTGGGGTGGGCTGGGCCGAAGGTGGCAGGTCGAAAGCCACAGAATAGTCACCTTTACCGGGAGGCAAGCCTGAGCACGCAGCGCCTTGGTCCTGGCCGTTGATGAAGTAGTGCAAGTCGCCCTTGGCCGTGCGCATCATACCGATGCGGGCGCCAGTGCCCAGCGCGTCAAGATCACACCCGTAGTTGTTGCGCATGGTGTTCCCATCTTGCATGATAGCCGTGCCGCTGCAGGGATAACAGAACGGGTAGGTCGGCCTTCCAGCTTCCTCCCCACACAGGCCTCTGCCCCATCTCTGCTTGTCGGAATCGTCCAGGGCCTTGGACTGGGATGCTAACCTGGGGTGTGAGACCCAATCTTGTCTCCTACACCCTGGGAACCCCCCTGGCAAAAGTAGAGGCTACCATTAGTGTCTAGGTGGAGGGAACAGCCAGACCACCTCGGTCTGTTATGGTCTACAGTTACCATAAGCCCCAAACCCTGCTTCCCTCATCCCGGCCAGCTCCACCAAGCTGGCTGCCAAAGCAGACAGCCCAACCTCAGCATCCATGTGTCATAGTCAATGTCTGTCATAGTATTGGGGAATTCAAGGTCCTCCGGCCGAATAGCAGTCACTCCTAGAAGGAGGCAGGGGTGGGTCAGAGCCGAGGCCCCAGCTTCTGGCAGCCAGCACCTCCCCAGCACATGTATACACACACACACACACATACACACACACGCCCCTCACCAGCCTCAATGGAGCCTGACCAGCGGTCCACCATCTTCTGAATGACGATTTCAAACAGCTCGCCATCTCTCAGGGCTCTGCCAGGAGAATGGCCATCAGACAGGCCCCACTTGAGTGGCTGATGCTGAGCAGTAGGGAAGTGGGGACATAAAAGTCCAGACACTGACCGGTTGGAGATGACAATGGCGTCATTGAACTCGCTGCGGCAATTGTGGCGGAGCGCAGTACGGCCCCCGTTGGTGATGACAGCATTGCTGCCGTGCAGCTGGTGGAATCGGAGGTCCGAGCCCCCAGCCCCAGACGATGGGGAGCTTGGGGACACCTGGTTGTTTCCCTCAGGGAGTGGTTCAGGGACTGGGGGCACCTCTGCAAGTGGACATCACCCTTTAGGCCTACAGCCATCTCTGAGGCCTCCCAAGGCCACCCCAGCCCCTGCCCAGCCCGGCCCTCACCCACGTCGTCCACAATGGTGGCCTGGGCCGCCTGGCCATAGAGATCCACGACGGCATAGACTCCTGGGGGCACATTCCAGGCAGCGGGACCCTGAGTCATGCCATTGACGAAGAAGTGGAGAGTCCCATCCTCCCGCCTCACCACGCCCACCGTGTCCCCTGCCTTGGAAGAAGGGGGGCTGGAGTGAGGAGTCAGGCCGAGTTCCTGCCTGGGCTGGTCCTTCAGCAGCCCCACCTGGCCTGCCTCCCCGCTATCGACAGGTGGTGGCTCCCCCAGTCTCCCACCTTGAGTCGGTCCAGGTTGTGCCCATATTCATCCAAGATGGTCGTCCCATTGTGCATCACCCCATTCCCTGTCATCATCCAGGTCCCTAGCGGACAACAAGTGGCAGAAGTCATGAAGAGGAAGCCAAGGCTTCTCTCCTTTACACAGTAGTCCCCCAGTTACTGCCGGAAGCTACCAGTCCAGCCTGCCTTTTCTTCTCAGGGCAGAGCCAGAATATTCTGCAGTTCTCACGCCAACCACAGGCCCTGTACACATGGCATGCCTCAGGCACTCAATGTGTCATCACAAACGTGACAAGTGAAAGAGAGTCTGGAAAACAGGGACAGCTTCCCCTCAGCATTTTATCCTGGCCCTGCCCTTCCTGGGAGCTCACCAGAGCGCAAGTTGGTCATGGTGGAGGGCAACTGGAGGTAGGCAGGGTTGTGGGTGGTGACGCCAATCTCGATGGAGCCAGCCCACTTGTCCACCATCTTGTCGATGCGCACCTGGAACACCTCTCCGTCCCGCAGGGCTCTGCTGCTCAGCACCACGCCGTGATTGAAGTCGTCGGTGGCACTGAGGGCATGGCAAGTGGGGACTCAGATCCCCCCCCAACAGTGCTCCAAAGCTCAGCCCTGCAACACCCAGCTGACACCCACTGCCCAAGTCAAGCACCTGCAGTCCACACTCCAGGAGGCCCCCCGACCAGACCCCCACAGCCTCCCACTTGCCCAACCTCCCCCAATCCCCTTATAGCCCCTCCGCAGGCTTCTTCCCACCCCATGGGCCATACTGGGGCCTCAGGGCAGTGCGTCCCTCGTGGGTGATGGCTGCCTTCTGCCCACAGTTGGGGTGGAAGAGCAGGCGCTCGGGTTCTGCCTGGGTTGTAGGAGCAGCCCGGCGGAGAGCACCCTCAGGGGACAGAGCCCGCAGGATGGCATTGTTCCGGCGAAGGCGGTCACTGTGGTTGTTATTGTGGACGATGGTCACCTTCACGGCCATCCCATACAAGTCCACCACACCATACACCACTGGGGGCGTCAAGGGGGTCGCCACACCTGCAGGGGGGAAGGTATGGGAGTGGAGGAATGATGGCCGTCTCATTGTGCATGGGACGAGGGGAGAAGAATCAATAAAGGGAGAATGAGATAGACCCCTCCCCCCCAGTGAAAGCCCTGGCCCAGGGGCTCTCTCTGAGCTTCTCCTTACCCTGATCAATGCCATTAATGAAGAAGTGCAGGGCAGAGTTGGACTTCCTTGTGAGACCAATGTGGTCACCCTCCTATTCAAAGCAGAAAAATAAAAACCTGGAATCTTTTGACAGCTGAGCTCCAGACTTGTCCTGGAGACTGGGAACAGAGTAGTCCTCCAGCCTTCCCATCAACCAATGCGACAGGGGAACAGCTCCAACTGGTTCCCATGCATCTCAGACCACTCCGAATGTTCAAGGCAAGTCAGGCACTATGTTAAACTATCTTATCAACACCAACTCAACCTTCATGGCACTCTATCAAATAGTACTGACAGGATCATTTTCAGACATTAAGGAAAAAAAAAAAACTACCCCAAAAAATGAGCTTCTGGCCACAGGTCACCACCACCAAAGGCCAAACTGAAAGAAGAATGGACCCATCTGACTGCAAAATCTGAGTGCTTAACAGTTGGGCAGCCCTGCCTTCTCAGAAGGAAAGGTGAAAGTCAATCATTTGTGTCCAACTCTTTGTGACCCCACGGACTGTAGCTTGCCAGGCTCCTCTGTTCATGGAATTCTCCAGGCCAGAATACTGGAGCGGGTAACCGTTCTCATCTCCAGGGGATCTTCCCAAACCATGGACCAAACCCAGGTCTCCCGCACTGCAGGCAGACTTTACCGTCTGAGCCACCAGGGAAGCCCTTCTCAGAAGGAACCTTCAGACAAAAGATAAAGGGCCTTCCTTGCTCCAGGTCAGACAGCACGGGGCCCAGGCAGGACTGCTCAGTATATACCAGGGTACCCCTAGAGAGAGGCCGGCGCTGTGTCCACCCTCACCTGCAGCTCATCCAGGCTGAATTCACAGTACTCCCGGCGGGTGCCCTTGCCATTGGTCAGGATCCCACAGCCGCTCATCATGATGGTGCCTGGGAAAGCAGACACCTTGGTTAGGGTATGGGCTCCCTGCACCTCGGTGACCACAGGCCACGCCCCCACCATGCCAGGGGCTGGTACCTGACTGCAGGTTGGTCATGGTGGCTGGGTACTCCAGATTGTTGGGGTTGTGGGTGGTGACACCAATCTCAATGGAGCCTGACCACTTATCTACGAGCTTATCGATGCGGATCTTGGGTGGAATGACAGTGGAAGGGAGAGGGGAAATGTAAACGCAGAGGAAAAAAATCTCTCCGCCCTTTGTACTTCCCTAGGCCACCTCCACCCTCTTCTAGCATTGGGGATCGAGCCCCATTTCTACTTCCCAGAGGGTGAGACGCTGGCCAGGCCCCAGCACCCTGCACACCTCAAACATCTCATTGTCCCGGAGCGGGCGGTTGGTCATGACAACCCCGTTGTTGAATTCATCCAGGGGCCGGCGGCGCTCAGCAGTCTTATTATTGTTGCTGAGCTTGATGAGGGTTCCACACTTCTCATGGAAAAGGAGAGCATCGTTGGAGGTGACAATGGGTGAGGTGGCAGCACCGCTAGGCCCCAGTGCTTCCCCTGCTGGAGGGGAGCTCAGGTTCACATTTAGGAGCCCCCCGTTGTACGCAGACAGGATGGCATTGCTCACCACCTCGGAGAGCTCCATGCTGGCAAAGTCTGCAACAGCAGGACACAGGAAGGAAGCAGAAATGAGTCTTCTCAGTCTCAGGCTCACCATGCTTTCCCTACCCCTCTCCTGAGGTACCCCCCTGTCCATCTCACGTCCCGCTCCCCTTCCCAGGCCTCCCAGAACCCTCACCATTATGCGACTCAAGGCTGTTAGGAAACGTCTCCGGTCGGGCCTGCGCTGGGGATACCATGAAGGCTGGGGACCAGGTGGAATGGGAGGGGAATAAGGGTTCAGCCCCTGTTGCAGGGACCACAGTCAGGAGACCCCTCCGCTAGCCCCTGCTCTCCCAGCCCACACCCAGCCTCACCTGTCATTGTCTTGCCCCACCCCCGCTCCTTCAGCCATTCCCTCTGCCCCATCCCCCCACCACTGCCCTAGCTGCATTCTCACCTTCATCCCCAGAGGTCCCCTGTTCAGCCAAGGCAGAATCTTCAGGGGGGGCAGAGGGCTCAAGGGGAGGCGTGGGGCTGGGAATAGGGGGGCTGAAGCCCGGCTCAGGGGGGAGCACAGTGATCTGTGTGCACTTGCCGTAAAGGTCCACGACGGCCCAGACACGAGCTGGAAGACCCGTGGCAGCCACACCGCAATCCCGCCCGTTCACCCAGAGCCGCAGCTCCCCGGCAGCCGTGCGCTCCACGCCCACACGGTCCCCTTCGCCAAGCTGGTCGAGGTCCTGCCCATACTCCTCCAGCACAGACCGTCCATCCCTCAGCACCGAGCAGCCCGACACTACCCACGAGCCCCCCTTCAGCCCTGTGGCGCTGCTTGGGAAATCCAGCACACTGGGGTCCAGTGCCGTCACCCCAATCTCAATGGAGCCACTCCAGGAGTTGACCTGTGATGGGGCGGTGGACAGTGGCTCAGGATGGGCTATGAAGGGGTCTCCCACATTTCACAGGTCACTGTGTCCCCCTCTTCCCACCTCTCAGACAGCTAACTGGGCTTTGCTCTCTTGAGACAGGAGGCATCCCCAATCCAGGGATCCAGTCCCAGAAAGTATTTTCTGGACTTTGGTCTCAGGGAATGATTAGGCCTGCTCTCCTTTAGCAACTCTCTTCTGTACTCTGGGTGCACGCTGTCTACGAGCCCATGCACTTCCCACACTGGCTCACCAAGCTGGCTAAATTCCCTGGCTCCAGCCTCCTGCCATCTCTAACTGCTGTGGTCTCTGTGGCCCCTCAACCAGTAAAATTCACAGCTCTCTATTCTTGCTGGTGTATTGCTCACTCTCTCTCTGGGCCTCTCTCCTAGGCTCTGACTGCACTCACTCACTTTCCTCCCAAATTCTACCTCTGTGCACCTGGCATTTCCGCCGCATCACTGCACAGGCACACACATCTCTTGCTTCGAGTATCTCTCCTCACCCATCTTTCTGTCCCCATCGGTGTGCGTTTGTCCTTCAGTGGTTGTTCTTTTCTTGGTTATCTCACTTCGCCTTCCATCACATCTCTGACATCTCTCCATCCTCCATCTCCCAGAAATTATCGCAGGGGGATTGTTCTCTAATCATTATAGTGGGTGGGGCCCCGTGTCCCTTCCCTGCTCCTGGGTCTTGACAAAACTCAAGCTCTCCTTGTCTCCTTCTCTTTGTGACTTAATGTTTCTGCTTCATGGTTCCTTCCTGCCCATCACCTGGTGTCCTGGCTAGCGGTTCCCTCTAGGTATCCGGTAATGTGGGCTACCCCAGCTGTCCTCCCCCATCGCCTTCTGGTCCCCTCCCACCACCCTCCACATCTCGCTTCCGCGGCCGCAGCTCCGCACCTTGCGATCGATGCGGACGGTGAAGACGCGTCCATCGCGCAAGGGTTCCCGACTCAACACCAGACCGTGGTTAAACTCCTGGCCTGGCTGCTGCCGCCGCGCTGTACGCCCACAGGCCGACAAGCTCACCAAGCGCCCGGTGCGCGGGTGCAGCTCCCCGCCGCTGCCCAGACCCCCGCCGGACCCCGGCCCTGGGCCGCTCCCGCCGGGGCCACCACCCCCACCCGGCCCCGGCCCGGGGCCTCCCCCGGAGCCCCCATTCCCACCCGACCCCGCCGCCATCGCCGCTGACACCGGGGCCGCGCGACAGCCGCGCTTGGCGGCACCGTGGCAACCGCGGTGTACGGACGCCCTGGGGGAATAGGACTCGGGGCTGGGGCCAGATATGCTTTACGGCAGTGCCGGGCAATAAAGCATCCCGGAGTAGGGAACTAAGGACTACTACGGTGGGAAGAGAAAGGACGACAGGGTCGGGCAGGTTTGCTTTACGGCACGGGCGAGGTGACGGAGTGGCTCCAGAGGGGAGAAGAGGCGCCGGGAGCTTTTGCGACAGTGGGAGAAACGACTGCCGCAGGCACCTTTACGACTTGGGGGTGGTGCCCAAACACTTTCAGCTTTGCGACACCGACGACCCTGTCTTCGTCGAGGACAGGCAACGCTGAAGTATTCGCTTTACGGCAAGAGGAGGCGAGGTCTTTCCTTTGCTCCACGCGCCTCGAAGCGGTGTGAGCGGGCCTTGAGCACATAGAGGTAGCTTTGTAAATAAAGAGGGTCACACTCTGTACCATTTGAGACCGGATGTCTTTCCGACAGTGTCGCAATCCCTCCACTTCTCCGCAGAAAGAGAGCGGGCTGGCTTTTGGGGCGAAAAGAGTTCGCGGATGTTTTTAGACAAGCCCATCTTGAACTCTAGTCCAACCAAACTTAGGTTTTAAAGCCACGAATAAAGAGTCCAAAGGAACCCTGGCAGGTAGTTTCAGGCAACGACGCTGACAGTCCTCAAAGACTGCCACCCTCAGAGCTATCAACAACCCCCCAGACGCTCACGCTTCAATTGGACTGTGTGTGACGTCACAATTAGGTTTGTCGCACCGTGTCCGGGACCCCTGACTACGATTGGATAATTCGGATGAGTGGTGATGGGGGAGAAGGGCGGGAACAAATCCCAGAGACAAAGAAGGGTTTTAGGGTGGGACAGAAAGGGAGGGGCAACCTGATAGTCTTCCAGCCGGAGGTCCCTAAACAATATTGATTCCGCCCCCCACGGCTCTAGGGAGCGGTGGGGGAGGGGACCCAGACCTCGCCCAAGAGTCCCCCTCCCGCCGCGGTGGGGGCGGGGCCTGGGGCGGGGCTATGTGGAGCAGGGAGGCGGGGCGAGGTAGCTGAGAGTGGCCCCCTAGTGGGGCCATGGAGAAGCAGGAAAGTCTGGAGGCTGCTGGCGGCCTCAATGGAGAATCCCCTGGTGGGGGTGTCAGGGGGGTGCCAGGAGGCATCGGAGGGTTCGAGTCAGGCGCCGGCTTGCTCTCCGGAGTAACCATGTTTCACGGTTCTGGGCCTCCCGCGCACAATGGGGGAACCATAATTCGCAGTCCTGATTCTAGCCAGCCCTCCGGAGGGACAGCAGTCCTTGGTTCCGGGTTCAACCAGCATCCTGGGGAAGTCGCGGGCCACAGCTTTGGGGCCGGTACACAACCTGACGGGTTTAATCCCCCCTTCCCTGGAACCAGTGTATCCGGGACGTTCAACCCGGGGTCCGGGGGATCTGGGGTGTACAACTCGGCAAACATTCCGCTATCCGAGTCAACTTGCACGGGCCAAGACAGACCCTGTGAGGACCGGCCCCGGAGCATCCTAAAAAACAGCAGCTCCATCTCGGTGCACAAATCCCCCGGGGCGGAGAGGTAAGGAGCCGGGGAGGAAGAAAGGGATTCCAGACACAAGAGGAAGCCAAGGAAAGGGAAAGGGGGCGGAGTCCCAAGAACTAAAAGTGAGAGTAAGTGGGGATAATTGGGTGAGAAATCCGAGGTTCCTAGCCTTTGAGAGAGCGGCAGGTACGGGATAGACCCTTGATTACGTAGCACGTGATTATCATCAGGTGTGACCCCACCCCAGCCTCCTACACGCCTGGAACTACCAGGGGGAACAAGAAAAAAGGTTTTGAATGACTGAAAGAGTGAGGGAGGACAGTGAGGAGGAGGGCACTAGGAGATTTCCTCCCCCTTTTTATGTGTCCTTCCCTCACCCGAAGGAGAAAATCTCAGCACTGGGATGAAATGAATATCCTGGCGACCTACCACCCTGCTGACAAGAACTATGGCTTTATGAAGGTGGATGAGCCCAGCACTCCTTTCCACAGGTGCGAGTCTGCAGCTCTAGCCCTTCAGCTCCTACTCTCTTCTCTATTCAAAGGAGAAGGGGAGTGCCTGCTGCCCGTTCTGAGGCACTGCCTCATCTCCCCCCGCCCCGCCCCCCTTGCAGGCTGCAAGACAGCGATGAAGACCTGCTTGCCGGGACCTCTCACACAATGACTCCTGAGAAGTTAGCAGAGAGGTGAGAGTCCTGCCAGAGGTCAGTAGGGACCTGCGGCCTCTTGCCTCCTCCTCTTGCTGAACTCAGGTCTGAGCCAGCTCTGCTTTTTGGCTCTCCAAATGGGAGGTACTACAATTTGGATCAGGACTCACTCAGGCCAAGGTGGGGGAGTCAGCCAGCTTGGCCCCAGCTACCACCTGCTCCCATTTTTTGTTCTCTCTGTGCCCCCAACTGGTCTCCCTCCCCTTCAGGTTTGCAACAATGGACAGTTTCTGCCCCAAGGTCCTGTACAATGATAACAGAAGCTCGGGGTCTTCAGACAGCTTTTCCAAGACACGTGAGATGAGGGGTGGGGTTAAGTGGAAGGGGAGGTGGAGTGAGAGCTCAGCGGAGAGCCTGGCAAGAAAGCCATGCTCTGACATTGGCCCACAGAATCCGATGACTTTGAAAAGCGCCGCAAGGCACACTACAATGAAGGAAAGTTCCTGAAAACTCAGAAAAACCCTCCGTTGGATAATAGCAAGAACAGCAGTGTGGGTAGTGTGAGTATGAGCAGTGGCGGCCGAGGTGTGATGCTGGACTCAGAGCCCAGGCCTGTGGAAAGAGGTGGGGCAGGAAGAATGACTGCAGGAGTCAAGGACCGGATTGGCCTGGTAGCCAGAAACCACATCCTAGAAGCCAAAGGTTAGCTATGGTGGGGCCCCAGACACCCAAGGGAACTGTAGTCCAGAACCTCTCCACCATAGCTTGTCTTCCTCAGTGGGTGTCAGCCCAGGGCCCTGCTGCCTAAGAGGGAAGTCATGCTGGCTGGTGTCCCCAAGGTAGACAGAGGGCAGCTGGGGTGGGGTCCCCATCAGGGGGGTCCCCATCAGGATAGTCCCCAAGGAAGTCTGGCTGGGAAGGAGGAACAGAAAGCCCAACAGAACTCTGAGGGGGTGGAAAGGTCACTGATGTTTTTCTAAACTGGGAGGAGGGGATAGAAGTGAGATGAGAACCTGAGGCTTGAGCTTCTCGTGGCTGCTCAGGAGTCACAATGAAGCTGGTGCCCTGTATTCTCTAGGTGCCCTTATGACTCAGATTGATTTGGATGATTCCTCAGCTTCCCCTGCCTTCAGAAATCTGTCCCCAACTTCATCCACCACTATGGTGTTGCAGAAGGAAATTGATCTGCAGCGCAAGGAGTATTACAGCAAAGGAAGATACCTGAGGTGCTGGTCCCATCCTGAGCTTGAGGAGGACCCAGAAGATGAGCAGCAGAGCAGTGAGAGCTCCGGGTCAGCCCAGGAGCGGGAGGGCTAAGAACCAACAGACTGATGGGTGTGCCAACCCTGGTTCTATGATGCTTCCAGGCTCCACAAACTTGAACTGGGTGATCGAGAGTCCCATGAGCACTGAGGTCCGTCTGCTGGACCACACGGGAAGCTCCTCCCAGGATTTCCAGGCCACCGAGAGCTCCCGGAAGGTGATAGTGACATCATCGAAGCCTGGTGAGGGCACCAGGCCACCATCTCACCAGGCCTGGCTTTTGGCAAGCTCCCATCTTCCCAACCCCCACTCCCTTCAGGCCAGCAGATCAGCAGAGGTGATGAGAGAGGCCCTCCACATTCTTGTGTGCAATGTGGATTGTATGGAGAGAACCCAGGGGGATGGGTACCGGCCCCCCAGCTTGGTACCACCGCTGCCCCCACTCCTCCTCCCTGATTCCTCTCTGCCACCTACCCTGCTCCAGGTACTGCCCTGTCCTCCAAAGACAGTGGGTCCCGAGCAATGTCTGACTGGTGTCAGTGGCTGGTATCCAAGGGGCTGAACTGGCAAAGCATGGGAGGCTCAGAGAGGGAAACTGGAAGTCACCCAAACTTCACAAACCAAAGCCAGCACAGACGTGAGCCTGAGCAGGGGCAAGGGGCTGGCTGGGGAGGGCGAGGGGCTGAGTGGGTAGGTTCTAGGAAGTCTGGGGATCGTGGGCCACATCTTCTGCCTGTGGCGAGAAAGCCACTAACCCAGCCCTTCCTCTTCCAGATGAAACCCTGCGGCTCCAGTGGACCCAGGAGGAGGAGACCAGACAATGGAAACTGTAGCCAGCTGGGGATGGGGTGGGAGCCGACTTTCCCTGCCCTCACCACCCTCGGCCAATTGGGGTAGACAATAAAGAGAAGAGCAGGAGTTTGGGTGCTGTGAATTGGGGTCCCAGGCTGATCCTGAGCTGTCGTTGAGGGGGGGGGGGGCAGAGATGGAAGTTCACATGCAGGAAACCACAGGCAGAGCAGAGCAAAAAGCTTGGCATAGCCAGGGGGACTGGACTCAACAGGCACCCAGGAGCCCAGGAAAACCCACCTGCAGTGAACTGACGATGACCGATGTGATTCAGCCACACACTTGCCAGTATCATCTTTAATTCTTAAACCACTCTGGAGGTAGGAATTATCATCCCCATCTTTCAGATGAGGAAACTGAGGAATCAGCTTGGCTAGGGTCAGGCAATCAGGATTTGAACCTGTATCTCTCAGACCTCCACGACTCAACCACTGAAGGAGAACGAAGCGGAGAGAGACCAGGGACCTAGGAAGGTGACTGCAGATAGTCTCCGAGGGCGGGGCTGTGGCTTCTCTGATCTCAGGCGCTTCTCCACCCCCAGGCCCCGCCTCCACCCCTCCCAGCACTGCCTGGAAGTGAGGGGTGAGAGCTCCTCCTAGGACACCCCTTGCACCTAGGGAAAGAATCCTGTCCCCCACCCCCAGACTCTACCCAGGGGAGGACTCTCCCCTCCTCCCTCGTTAGCACATCCCCAGGCGAGGGGAGTGCCTGAACTTGCAGCTCCACCCTCCAGGCCCGAGGGCCCACTGGCCCGGGAGCGGTCTAGCTGAGATGACGGTCAAGCTGGATTTTGAGGAGTGTCTTAAGGACTCACCCCGCTTCCGGTAAGTGTACACAGGTGTCCAGGGGCAGAGGTGGGGAGGTCCAATACTCCCTAACATACACAACCTTCCCCATGTCGGACAGAGGATGTAGACAGACAGGGCGTAGGTCTCAGAGGGGCAAGATCCAGCTTAGAAGTCAAAGCCGTACCTCTGGTATCAAATCCCATGCTCTGATACTCGCCACCCTCTGCCAGTGTGGAGGGGGTCCCTCCAGCCTCTCTCAACCCCAGAGCTGGCACTCCCTCCTCCCTCTCTTGGGGACCCCTCCCCTCCCCCAGCACCTGCTCTGGGCGGTTAGCAACTTCCTGCCCTCGCCACATCCACCCTCTTTCTACCTTCCTGCTCTGGCCTGGGCCTTAGTAGCTCCCACACTGCGGAGTGAGCGAGCCAGAGGGGGTGGGTGGAAGTTCTTAACCCATCAGTTTTTCTGTCTGTACCCTCAGCCCCCTAACCCCAACCCCTGACCCTGCCGACTGGACAGACCAGACAGGCCCAAGCTCTGTTCCCGTGACCTTGTCCCTCCTTTCCCAGAGCCTCTGTCGAGCTGGTGGAAGCCGAAGTGTCAGAATTGGAGACCCGGCTGGAAAAGGTGATCCGGATGTGGAGGGGTGACCCAGGGTGGGAGTGAGATGAGAGAGGTAGGGCCAGGGAGAAAAGCAGAGACCAAGTATAAGTTCTGGAGATTACTGAACATTAACCAGGTTGGGTAGATATTGGGGGCTCCAGAGAAACCAAAAGGTGGTTCTGTATCCTTAAGGAGCGCAGAATCTTGGAAAACAAGACTCACCTGTGAACTTATGAAGACCTGCGTTATGTGGGACCCTGAGCTCCCAGAAGTTTCTGCCCTCAGGGGACTCTCAGACTGTGGGCAACAAATCAGTAAAACACCACACGATGCAGTCAGGCCTTCCTGGCTGCTCTTTACAAAAGCAGCATGCTCCCATCCCCTTATTTGGCTTTATTTTTTTCCCCTCTACAGCATTTATCTCAGCTATGTTGTGTGTTTATTTGCTGCATTAGTTTTCTATTGTATAACAAATGATTACACATTCCGTGACTTCAAATAGTGCACAGGTATTAGCATAGTTGTGGGTCAGCACAGCTTAACTGTGCTCTGCTCTGCTTCAAGCAGAGTTCCAGTCCTTGCTGTTGTGGGATTGAGGCCCTCATCTCCCAGAGGCCATCCACAGTTCCCTGGCCCAGGGCCCTGTCCATAGGCAGTTTATTTCATAGCAGCTTGCTTCTTCTTCAAGGCCAGTAGTAGGCTTTCCCAAGTGTGTGCTGACGAGATGCCATCAGTTTCTGTCAGAATGGGATCGCGGGGCGAATCCATCACCTCTGTCATTTGGGGGTGCCATCCTATTGCCCTTGCCGTGTGGAGTGCTGGTGAGAAGCATAATCCTCACTCACCCACACTCAAGAAGTGAGGATTATGCAAAAGCGGGAGTCACAGGGTACCTTAGCCTGTGTCTGTCCCACTTGCCAAGTCTGTTTCTTGTCTACTTTTCCCTACTGGATTGGAAGTATCATGAGGGACTTTTACATTTCCCCCTCCCCCGCCCCCCCCTCAGTCCCCAGGGCCTTTGCCATGACCTGAAAGTTAGTAGGTAACCAACTAATAGATACATTTACTAATGAAATAGATACATTTAAATTTCTGTATAGCTGATTTACAATGTTGTGTTAGTTTCTGGTGTACAGAAAAGTGATTGGGTTGTACCCATGAATATATACATATATTTTTAAGTTAAACTTTTTATTTGTAACTACTTGCAGATCACAAGAAGTTGCAAAAATAGCACAAAGAGGCACAGGTACCCATCTCCCAGCTTCCCCCAATGGTAGTATCTTCCATAACTGTAATCTCCTGCTCAAACCAGGAAATTGCTTCTGGCATGATACAGTAAGCTATCTAAAGACTTCACTTGAAAAAAAAAAAGAAAAAAATAAAGACTTCACTTGAATTTTACCTGCTTTGCCTATACCCTTAAAAAAATTTTTTTTTTCATTTATTTATTTAGCTGTGCTGTGTCTTAGTTGCTGCACATGGGATCTTTAGTTGCGGCATGTGGGATCCAGTTTCTGACCAGGGATGGAACCTGGACCCCCTAACACTGGGAGGATGGAATGTTAGCCACTGGACACCCCCCCCTCCAAGGAAATCCCCTTTGTGTATAATTCAGTGGGCACTTTATCACATGTATAGATTCTTATAACCAGCATCACACTCAAGATACAAAACTCCTGTCATCACAAAGAAACTCTTTTGAGCCATTTTTTTGTAATGGTACCCTCCCTCCCCACCCCCTTCCTTATCCATGACAACCCCTCGTCTCTTTTCTATCTCTAGACTTGTCATTTCTAGGTTATCTAGGTGGAATCACACACAGTATGTGACCTTTCAAGATTGGCCTTTTTTTCCTCTCAAAATAATATCTTTAGGTTTATTCAAGTTGTGGCCTATCAGTAGTTATCAGCAGTTCATTAATAGTTGATGAGTAGCTCATGCCTTTTGCATTGCTGAGCATGTGCTATTGTATGGAAGTACCAGTTTGTCACTAGTTCAGTCTTCTGAAAGTTCCTTATTCAACTCTTTGGGCAGGCGGGGTGAATAAGGGAAAACCTGGACACTCAGTCCCCCAGTGGAGTTGTGATCCTCTGGGTCCTTGTCCCTTATTACAGACACCCAAGGGTGACATCTGATAAAATTTGATCCTGGTCTGTTTCCTGACCGTTACTGACCCTGCCAGCCATCTTCAAGTCAAGCTATAGTTCCCTGAAGCCTTCACTAGCCTGAAAAAGTGTTTTTCAGTTCAACAAAAGTTCCGTGAGCAAACCTCTGTAGCCCATATTTTCTGAGCCCCTGCTACTCAAGATTTCCTCACAGAACTGCCCTGGTGGTCTCTAGATCCCCAGGCTGAACTGACAGGCTCCATCGACTCTTGCCCCTTCCCAGATAGAGTGACTCAGGCTGGAACCAATGGTGTCATCTCCAGGAGCCATGCAGCTCCTGCAGGTGAAAAGAACCAGGGGTCAGAAAACCTAGCTCTGGCTTCTGAGTCGGCCACCTCAAGGAGTGAGCTGGGAGGGAAACCAGTCTTCAGGCTATTCCTGCTACCACAGGGGCCTCCCAGAGACCCTCCTCAGGCCAATCACTGGTCCTTTGTTTATCAAGTCACCTAGGCAGGTGGAATGAACTGGGAGATTGGGATTAACATATATACTTAAACAATTAACACTGTATAAAATAGATAATTCATGAGAACCTACTGCATAGCTCAGGGAACTCTATTCTGTGCTCTTTGGTGCCCTAAATGGGAAGGAAATCTAAAAAAGAGGGGATTTATATATATAAATGGCTGATTCACTTCGCTGTACAGCAACTATACTCCAATAATTTTTTTTTAAAGCCTCCTTGTTTGTAATTTAGGGCCAGACAGAATGGGCCCTAAGAGCACCATCTCTGCCCTGACCCTATGGCCTGGCTAACTGATTACTATTTATGAGGAAATGTTCACTAAGCACAGAATGAACACCTCCAGACAGTAAATACTGTATAGTTTTGTTGTTGTTGTTGTTGTTTTTTAACAAGGCATGTGGGATCTTAATTCCCCAACCAGAGATCATACCCGGGCGCTTGGCGGTGAGAGCTCAGACTCCTGACCACTGGACAGCCAGGGTATCCCCCATTTCTGTAGAATTTGATACTGAGCAGGTAAAGCTCTGGTTTCATCCTGAGAGCCAGACAGTGCGTGAGGATGGCATTTCTGGGGAACTCTGGATCCAAGCAGATGTCGCAGGGCAGGAGAGATGTCCGGGAGGTGAAACCGACACTGGCTCCACTGTCAGACTGGGAGGAGTTTTGATCCAGACCCAGAGCAGTGGGAGCAAAGAAACCGAGATGAGAAAGCAGCTCATGTGTATTAGAAACCAGACTGGGCCGTAGAGAAGTGTAGGTGTGGGAGGGAGGGGCACAGCCCTGGGAAAGGGGGGACAAGTCAGACAGGAGAGGAGCAGCACTGGGTATTGGTGGCACCGGCACGACTCCCTGTTGCTCTGTTGTTTCCCAGCTCCTCAAACTGGGGAATGGCCTCCTGGAAAGTGGGCGGCACTACCTTGCCGCCAGCCGGGCCTTCATCGTGGGCATTTGTGATCTCGCC